AAAAAATCACAGTTTAAAACTTGGTATAAAATATTTACTTGAAATAGAGAGAACAAACCGTCAAAAAGTAACATTATAAAGCATAATAAATTATTTTCAAAAGCTAAGGGCCAGTACTTTTTGCTGTTTTCGGGTCTTTTTCAGTTTTCGAAAATACAGAAAACACGTTTACTTACCTATTTTCAGAAACGAATTTCCAAAAACGAGTTTAAAATTTACAAAGAAAATGAAAAACCCAAAAAAAAAAAAATATTATTTTGTCTGTTTTCAGTTAAAATTAAACCAAAACTTCATTTTTTTAAAAAAATTTTTAAAACAATTTCAAAATAACAAAAAGAATGCGTTTTCGAAAATCTCAAAATGGACATTCAAAACCATAGTTGTCGACTCGACCAGAACACAAACCCGAACAATACAGCGGATCAATGGGTTAGTGGTTCAACCAGTGGATCATTGCGTAAGAACCTACAAAAAAAAAAATATAAAGTATAAATNACAGACCCGGACAATGCAGTGGGTCATTTGATTAGTGTTTCAATCGGTGACCCAGTGGTTTAACCAGTGGGTTATTGCATAAAAACTTACAATAAAATATAAAGTATAAATTTTGTTTTAGAGACAAAATTAAAATTTTTAATTTATTTTTTACTAATTATTTAAGTTTATAAAATAAAGTAAAAGGTTGAATGAAAATTTTTAAATTTTTTTTTTAATTAAACCTATAAATTATTCATTAAATAGATATAAGTTATTTGCACATAAGTAATACTAAGAAATTATATCTCAAGTGGTGAGGAAGTCATTATTTTCCTTAGAGATCCAATGTTTAATTCCCTTGGACATTAAAATTTTGTAAGAGAATTTTTAAATCCAATCAAATCGGTCAACTGGGTCGGCTAAATCGCCGGTTAACTCGATCAAAGCCCGATTTTGATCGAGTCAAGTGCATTTCGATTAAATTAATCTGCCCGACCAAGGTCAAGGGTCCGAGTTGCAAATTTTCCGAGCTGATTGTCTGGGCCGGGCCGGGCCGGGCCGACACCGTTCGAACATCACTAAAAGCAAAACGATGTCGTTTTGCTTGTAGTGAGGTTGAAAAAATAATAAAATAAGAATGATCACTTGAAAAGTGAAGTATACACGAGGCTCTTTTGAGGGAGGTTTTTCTCCTAAAAAACGATCAGTGACCAAATTGTTCAAAAAACTATATATGCGGACCAATTATTCAATTTTATCCAAGGAAAGTTTTCGAGGAACCCTATCATAGCTTGTCCAATAGTTGTCGTCACATCCCTCCGTTAAATTAGCCGGTCACCTCGACACTCCTCACTCCACTAAAATCACCATCATTACCGGTACTCCCGTCCCCATTCCAGCAGACAAATCTTTATATTCCACGTGCCAAGTCAGGCGCCTCGATTCATAAAATTCAATTTCCAAATTTTCTCCGAGTTCTTGAAATTTCCAAATTCTTGAAAGGGATGGAGCGTCCGAACCCGATCGATAAAGACGACAATGGTGAAATGGAACCGATACCATTGGAGTCGGATCAGACTCCATCAGTTAAAGATCCGAATCCGGTTCCCGGACCCAACCCGGATCCCAAGCCTAAGGGCGAAGAAAAAGTGGAGGCAGTAAAACAAGGAGATAATGCCAATCTTAATGTGAATATAGATGAGGAGAGTAATCATGATAATAAAGAATTGAAATCAAAAAAATCGGTGAGGTGGAGCGAGGAATTGGTGACGGAATCGCCGGTGTCGAGGGACATCGATCGTGGATCCAATCCTTACGTTGCTTACTCGCCGGCGCCTTCCAATGAATCTTCTTCCTTCAATTTTAAAAGTCAGCATTCATAATACATACATATATTGTGTATTTTTGTTTATTTGTTATGAAAATTTTTGGCTACTGTTATTTGTTGAACTGCTCATGCTATTAAAGATTGGATTTTTGTTGAGATTTATGTATTTTACGATTGGATTGAGGTAGGTTTTACTCTATTTGTGTGTCCTTTGTGTGTGCATAAAAATGAATGTTATTTGTATGAATTTGTTTGAATTTAGTATGAATACTGACTCTCAATTGTTAAGTTCCATGCACAGTATTTGAAATTTGGGTAATGCTACATGTACACACACACTTTTATACAATCTTTTACACCTCTCTCACATGGAGGGGGTCACGATTATTTTATTATGTGTGCCCCCTTCCATATGAGAGAGGTGTAAAAGATTGTGTAAAAAATTGTGTATACTTAGCATTATTCTTGAAATTTTGAAGTCCATATTTATTGGACTAGAGCTAAATTAGCTCAGGTGTTGGTACTTTTTTTTTTCTTGTAATTACAAGGTATTCAGGAAATCTAACTTGCATTGTTTTCATTGTTATTTATTTTTTGCTTATGTTATTTTTTGTTAATTTAGTTGGTAAATTTTTTATTATAATTTTTATTTTAAATTTGTCTTGAATTTGATGTTGTAAAGGATTTATGAAGTGGATTTTGATGGAATTGATTGACAACAAAGCTGTTAATTTAATGGCACAAGAAAACTTATGTAAAAAGTTGAATGTTTGTTTTTTTCCTTTAGGTACAATGGCAAATGTGAAGGATGTGTTAGGAAAATGGGGAAAGAAGGTGGGGGAAGCAACAAGGAAGGCTGAGGATCTTGCTGGGAATACTTGGCAGCACCGTAAGTTTTCAGATATTTTAGTTGTTATTATTTGATTTTCAAGCACATTGAATGAAAACGGTGAGCAGGATGTTCTTTTTTATGCATCCCACTACGTCCTTTTACCATTTTAGGGGAAAATCCTTGTAGATGGAATAGGAGTACGTCGATGTCAATATATGTACATGAAGATTGAGAAAGTTAGAAATTTAATCCTACATATATGCGCACAAACACATACATCACTTAGTGGATAGTTAACAGGGATGAGTGGGTGGTTGTAGTTGGACGCCTGGGCTGATATGTGAGGCTTGATTTGGAGTTCACACGGGAAGTGCAGATGTGTATTCAATAGGGAGGATGGGGATAGTTTTGGACATTAACAATATTCATGGCCTCATGGTCATGCCAAACATAGCAAATCCAATTTCCTTTTGTTCTGTTCTTGTCTTAATTTTTTATAATTGACTAAGATAAAATTACTCTTGTCAAGGTGCCTTCTCTCTAAGGATAACAATAGAATCTGTTAACCCCGATACCCTCGAGCCCCACCCTGAATGGGACAGGGATTACACTCGTAATCAGGTACTTGAGATGGGGGCAGGCGACAGATGTTACCCCAGACCGGGGATGGGGAACACGATCCCCGTCCACTACCCGCTCCATTTAAATTCCAATTTCAAAAATCATGATTAACACGTGCCCAACCCAAAAATAACCCCAGGCCCCTTCCCAAAATGGCCCAAGTCCCCAAGAACCTACATTGATAATTTGATAAGTGGATCAAGTAGGTATATTGTCCACAGAGAAATTTGATTAACTTGCCCCTATAATCTACTGGGGTTTACTGAATTGGTGGATCAAGATGTTCGTCTAGACATAGTCTGAATGCACAAATGAGCAAATGATCACTTTTAACCTTTGAACTCATAATCAGTCAAAAAGAGAATCTTGTTCTTGGTTCCTTTGAGGCATTTCTTCCTATTCGCCAAGTATAAGGCTGGTTGCATGGAGCATATTAATCTTCATATGCATTTAGGCACATTTGAATGATGGCTAGCCTTTATTTTTGTTAATACGGTATTAAAAAGCAAAACATAAATGGGAAGGTAAATGGGGCAGGGTCCCCACCCTGCCTCGGGGCTAGGAGGGAAAAATACCTGATGGAGCTGGGGGCTGACTACCATCCCTACTTCTCTCTTGTTTTTTAAATTACCTGACCTCTCCTTTAGGTGCTTTCCATTTAGACAGTGATAGTTTTAATATGATGGAAAAGCATGTTAGGTCAACTTCGTCTTTTCCTTCAATTGCCACCACATGACATAGAAGTGTCAATGCGGGTGGTCCGGGCCGGGTCGGTCCGCCAACACATGAGCCCGCTAACGACCCGAGTGAAGAAAAGCCTTCCCGCTACGGATTCCGGGCTGTCGGCCCACAAATTTTGGACTAC